AAAAATCTTCTATTATACGATTGTGCTTTTGGTATTTTCATGTTCCGAACAGATTCAGCATTTATGTAATGGCAAATTTAACCGAGGTTATGACCTCTCAACAATGCGATTTGTAGCAGCCCAGACTGTTTAAAAGTGAAATGGAAAATATTCTCAAGGAATAGAACATATGTGTTATGTTAAATGTATAAGTGTGTGTACTAACACAACGTAATATAACAATGAATGACAGTGACGATTCGAATTAATAAGCAAAACATTACAATGAAAAATGGTTATTGAAACTTCAAGGAAGAAGTTATCGAGAGGTTATTGAGTTGTGCTTGGGAATTCGTTAATTAATCAGGTATTTATATAGTTTTGTATACATTGATTATAACATTTCCCTCTTTGTATTTGTATTAACATCACAAAATTATTACCTTTATTTCATAAGAATTTAATTAAGGTTCTTAAATATTCTTTCAGCTTAGGCACCTCTCTTGCATTGACATGCAAATGTGTGCCATGCATTTTAATAAAAAACGTAACGATAATTTAAATTGTTGTATTTCAATTGCTCTAACCTTATTATTATTACAATTTTACATTTATTGCACTATACACAAACAATTTTGAAACTTAAACTAACATAATAACTTTAAGCATGTTATAAGACTTTATAGATTATTTCTAATATATCCATATGATATTTATTGTTAATGTTTGTTTGTCTTGCATATAATGATCCTTTATTGATGTTTTGACTGGTTCGAATAAAAAATAACATTCTAAATCTATTATTAATCCTTGCAATAAATCAAATAGATAAAATTATATCTACTTGAAAACCCCGTTATGCTTAAAATGTATGTCGCATGTATTTGTAACACCTTTACCACACACAAATCAGAGGTAAAAAAATGAATATTTCAGATTGAGTATGTGATACATACACATTTTGTGTCAGTCCTAAAGTGAGTGACAAGTTTCCAAAAAAATATAAACAGTCACGTGTTTCATTTGTGTCAAGCAATTTGATCGCTTAAAAATTTTGAATGAATGTATGACTTATATTTTTATATTAAAGAAAGCAAAGAATATGATGAGGAAATTGCATTTTATTTTTCAGATTTAAGAAGAAAGAACATTTCTTAAGTGGTTTGACATTAAACAAATCAATAAGATGATACTGGATATTAACATAAAAAGGCGTCAAATAAGGAGTAACCTTGAAATACGGATAAAAAAAACAAGTGATGCATCGGAACAAACGCGAAACACTTTTTGAAAGTGCAATGAGGACATCTGGCATAATCATTGAAGTGCTGAAGTGATTTTGATATTCTCAATTCATCATGTTTCAACTACAGAATTTTTTTTCAAAGAATTAAACTTATTATTTGATTTTACTAAAATATAATTCCAGGAAATGTATAAATATGTCTTATCAGTGCTTTGAGTTTTGTGTAATATAATATTGCGCAATATTACATTATTTGATAAGTATGAATTTCTGAGACATATTGTGCCATAAACTTCTGTTTGTTCATAATCTTTGGTATTAAATACCTAAAGGCACGTGATGCCTCAAAAATGTTGTGCTGTTAGTTTTATTTATGTTTGGTATCTTGTTATCGTTTCATAAAAAAAATACTCACTCATTGTCCATATAGAACAATTTTGTGATATATTCTGGGACATATTGTGCCTTCAACCTTTTTACAATTTTGATACTAGCTTTTAAAATCCAATATCTTTCTTTCATAAATATCTTTTCTTTATATGTTTGATATGTTTCAATGTTCAAATTGATTTTGTTTTTGTATGAAAGCTTATTAGTTTAGCAACCTCTTTGAGTAAATATATTTTAGAACATCGAATAATCACTTTTGGAACATCCAGTTATCTGTTAAATGTCTGCATAATCTTGAATATTATTTCAAAATTATTAACAGTTGAAGATGTGTCATGTTACCATAAAATCGTTTGAAATAAAACGTTGGTTGAGTGAGATCTGTCTTCTTTCGAAACCAGGTTATATAATTATTTATATTTACTCATCATTAAAACAATAGATTTTCATGACACAAAAATCACACCATCTCATATATTATGGATAATGATATACCGCATTTTTATTACATTTTAACCATTTGATGTGTTTTTATCACATTTCAATTCACTTTATATTACATCACTAACATAATTTATCTTATTTTATCTTTATTAAATCATTTTATTTATTTAATTATTATTAATTTATTTATGCATTTATATTTATTCATTTATTTATTTACTAGTATATATATTGTTATTTATGTATTTACTTATATTTACTTATTAATTCATCCCTTTATTTATTTATTTGTTTTAATTATGAATAATTAAAAAAAGTAAAAATCTTCCTATCATTTAATTCTTTATTAACTGCTTTACATGTATTTTACGAGTAAATTACCTGTTCATTTTGTTAAAAGTTAGAAAGAAAAGGAGCTTATCTTTCCATACTGTATAAATGGGTAATTTGGAAACACATCCCGGTAAATATAACAAATTATATTGTTAGAACGCAATATGTTTTCTAATATATTTATTTTAAGACTTCTAAGTATAGTTACTGTAGTAAAATGAGAAAAATAGTATGACATTGTATCATTATTCTAAAAATAACTGACTAATTTTTTCTCATTTTAATGTCATCATCATTATTATTATTATTTGTTTATTTTGTTATCATTATTATTTAATTATCAAAATAGATATTATATTTTTGCGCAAGTATTTTTTTCAAAAAAAGGTGATAATTGATGTTTTATAATGATTAAACTTTAGGTAAATAAATAAGTATTTTATATGAATAGATAGCTGATTGACAATAATATGTAACTACTAGCTTAAAAAAATATAATATCAATATCAGTTTTAGATAGTTTTTAACTATTTTCTTCTTACTTTTGTTATTTACTTACTACATATTTTTCATTGTAACAATATGATGTATGATGGAAAATGTTAAATAAAGTAACGAATTGTCACAAAAAATAAAACAAATGTTTGAGTTATATTATTACTATCCATTTTGTCGTTGATCATATCCTCTTCAATAAAACAGGGGTAAACCATATATCATGCAACATTTTCATCTCAATAAATAACAATCAAAGGCAAAGATCATACTAACGTATGAGGAATGCGATGAAAAATGTATCATGTATATTAATTTAATTGAACAGTATTAGTCCATATGCCCGCACTATACCAATTACGGAGAATTAACTGCATTAATGACAGTATTACTTATCCTTTTAAAAGTATAAGAAATACATTTTTCTATGTATACGTATATGTGTTCATCAAATAACTCCGAACAACGATTTCCAACATTATCCTTCGAAAAAAAGATGAAGGGATATCATCTGCAAACGGACAGGTACAATGCGTTTGAGGTTTAAAAGATAGGGGAATTATTCCTCTAAGTTTGGCAACACTCATTCGCTCTTCTCTGCATGTAAATTTGTTGCTGAAAAAGTGTCTTTAGGTAAACCCCCGGAAAAGGACATCTGGAATTTCCTTTTTTATTCTGGAACGCATTAAGATAAAAATATTATTCCAGGTTTACTAAAATTATTAAAAATTATAATAAAATTACCTTGATATTCCAATTTATGTGCATCTATCATAAATTTTGAGATAAATAGGGAAAGAAAAAAAAAAAAAAATGTTAGACAACATATGAGGCTCGAACTCGAGATAAAGTTTTATATCGTATCACTTTACCACTTTTGCCAAGAAGACATTTAAAATTCTACTTCTTATTTTGTATTATATTGCCTTCTTACAGAAGCTGTTTTACCTATTTAGGCAAAGATTGTAAACTTTTGTTCACACAAAAAATGCAACGTCACTCTCACATTATCATAGCGGCACAGTACCTTAAGTATTATTCTGTTTTTAAGCTAAATATCTAACAAAACAAAAAGAAGAAGAATTAAAGCAGCATCGTTAGTTATGCTTAATTATATGTTTTCCGTAAGTTGATCACATTATTAACTATATAAAGAATTGTCACTTTTAGAATTGCATATATGAATTCGGGATAATGTTGTATAAGGAAACGTCAGCATTTATACTAGTATTGATTGTGGATATGGTATTTACTGGTAAGTTATTTTACTTCATGATAATTTGTACTGTGAAAATACAAATATGTGAATTTCTGTTAATATATGTTCTTTGAATTTCCTAAATACATCTATAAAATGTTGACTTTTAAAAGTTTATTTATTATTATTCCTAAGTTTTTGTGGTCAAGTTTAGAATTTTAAATTTTTATCAACAAAATCCGACTTAGCATATTTGTGGGTTCTTTACATTGTAAATGTGGAAATATATATAACTCAAAACAATGTAAATATACAAATTAGAGAATTTAAGTTGATAAGTTGATTAATGTTTTTTTTTTTCGTTTATTAAATGCATCTTTAGATATTTAAAACCTCTACTTAATTATCTTATGATATTCATGGTTTGTATATTTCATTTATAATTATAATTACCGAATATTGTACATTTGGAAATGTATATAAAACTGCATATTTATATGTAAAAGGGCAAAACAAATATCAATATTTACAGAATGTTCTTTTGGCTGTCAATCATGCTCTGGTTCAACTTGTACAAGTTGTGAATCATCTTACTTTCTATCAAATGGCTTCTGTTCACCATGTCCTCCAGATTGTGCAAAATGTAACAACTTCGATGACTGTACTTTGTGTAATAAGCCAAATAAATATGGTTTTAGATGTACTGTCAACTGTGATGGTAATTGTCTAAATGGTGAATGCCAGGCTAAAACGGGAGATTGTACGCAATGTAGGCCCAATTTATATGGACTTCAATGTCAACACAATTGTAGCTTATGTGAAAATGAATATTGTGATTTACGTAAATGTTCGAGTGGTTGTAGAGATGGATATTTTATCGCTAAACGCGGTGTCGAGACAATATGTGACACCTGTCCGTCAAATTGTAAACATTGTACGGATGTGAAAACATGTTATATTTGCAATGATGGTTTTCACCTCTATAAGTTTAATGACAGTGTTAAATGTGTGTCATGTTCGCAAGAATCGCAATGTCCGGACTGTATTATTCAAGGATGTAACCAGTGTCAAATACACAATGGTTCGTTAGTCTGCGCTGATTGTCCAGAAGGACAAATATTCAATGGTAAAACATGCGGGTCACACACATCATTGTGCTCTAAAGAATGTTCTACGAATTGTGATAATTCTGGAATATGTCAAGGAGAATGTAATGAGGGCTGGACTGGTGAGAAATGTTCAAAACAATGTAACAGCAAGTGTTTAAAGTGCTCAAAAGATAACGGAAATAGTTGTATACTGTGTGTTGGTCATTTTTACTCATCCGATTGCAGTTTAGCCTGCAACCCATCATGCTTAGTACAACGTGGTAAACGTACATGTGAACATACCAACGGATATTGTTTAAACGGATGTAACCAAACATTTTGGGGCGATACTTGTGAGCAACCTTGTCCTGATGGATGTAAAGATCTTAAATGTGATAGAAAAAACGGTACATGTACGGATGGATGTAAGGATGGATTGATTGGAGATAATTGTACTCAAACTACCACTTCTGGTAAAAAAGATTGTACTGTAATGAATTCATTTCAGGTTTTTTTATCAAGTTGAAAATTACCAAGAACTAAGATTGTTTATTACCTTTTGCCCTAACTGATGGTGGCATTAACATAACACTATACGGCACCCCATCATACTATACTTACATTTTTGTTAAGGTAATGAATGATTTTAGATTTAACAAATGTGTTTTTTATTAAGTTGTTAAAATGCTCTTAAAAGGAAACGTTTATTTTATTTGTTAAATTTAATAGTTTTTATCATTTATCTTAAACGTGCATCTGCTTGACGTGATCTTCATTGTATGTGTATTTGTTATTGTTATTTGAATTTCTCAGTTTGGTCAGAGATAACAACTAGTCAAACAAGAGCAAGTTCACAACAAACTTTAACAAAGGGTACACAGATGGCAGTACAAGAAAAGAAAGAAAGCAACGAACTTATCATAGGTGCATCAGCAGGAGGAGGCGTTCTAATCTTGATACTGATCATAGTGGGAGTTTGTTTGCTAAAACGAAGGTATAAAAACAAATTTGCATAAGACCTCATTACTTTTAAATCATTATTCGTATGAATTATTTTCTGAGAACATATTTACATTAATCCGGAATACTTAACACAAAGCTGAAGTAAGTAAGTAAATAAAAGGGAAAAAGAGCAAATGTATTAAATAGCATTAATCATTCATGACGCATAAGTTCATTTTAAGAATTTAACCTGAAATAAAACTAGGAGATCGATGCGTGTGTTCATTATTTTTGGATTGAATATTTATTTTGTTTTAGGTTTACATATTACACAATATAATATGAATCGTCATTTTGTTTTATTATAAAATTGCATTTTATGGAATAAATTTGTCCTTTATTCCACAGAAAAAAATCCCCGAGGGAAGAATCTGGTCAACATGAGGCAGTTAGTACAGAAGATCAAAGTATGCATTACACAAAGATAAAAAGTTTAATACTCTTAAGATATTTACACGATTCATGTATGCACATAACATTTATTAGCAGTAGTGTATCACTTTAAATCGTTAAAATAACGACAGTGTTACAGTGTGACATAAAATCAACGACAATGTTGTTTTTTTGTTTCTTTTCTTCAGTTTTCATTATCATCAAACATTTAATCACATAATCTTCAATGTTTAATGAAAGAAATTGATATTTTTCTTGTAATTATATAAAACTGTTACAGCTATTCATTTCTTCTATGATTTAAGATGTTTATGCAAAACCAATGAAGAAAACGGAAGCAGTTGAAGAAATTCAGGACTACATATATGCACAACCTAACAAAACACACAAGTTCAAGAAACCTATTACGAGAGAAATTGGCAAACCAAAACCAATGTATGATAATTTTGCCATAGACTTAGATGATAGAAAAACTGTCTCAGATGGTACGTATTCCACTATCACTATTGATGGAGATCTTGAAAACAAAACAGAAGAAGAAACGGATGTTGATGAAATAGAATTAGAAGAATTAGACGAAGGCAGTTCTAAACTTATCGAAAAAGGTTTGTTTTCATTGAATAACCGTATTCGTATGGGATGCTAAGATAACATGTATGTATAGTATGTCAGTAATATTTCTTACCTTATTGTCAGAAATATCGATTGTATCAGATATAAAGTTATTAACAGATATTACATATTTAAGAAGATTACTTACTTTTTTCAAGTAGTTTATTTATTGTGTGAAACAACTGCAAAACTTCAATGTATATATAGGATCATTCTTAAAAAAACAGGGCATTGTAAATTACAGAAGTAAATCCACCGAGTGCTGATTTGTATTACAATACAGCGAGTCTACTTAGAACCCGGATTCAAATATCTGATCTACTTGAATACACCAGGAAGAAGACTGATTATGAAGATGAGTTTGAGGTTGAGTATTAATTGCATATTTCATATTACTGTACCTGTTATAGGATAGGGGGAGCTTAGTATATCTTTTTATAGTTTGAAATAAGATAATATTAAACTTAAATTATTGCAGGATCAATTAAATGTTGGTATTTTAATACTGCTAGAAATGTTCAATTGCGTGAATTAATTCTATCGGTTCAATAGATAAACCTGTATTTATAATTATGTTGATATAGAAACGATATATTTGATGATACATAATAATTCAGCTATTTCTACGTTTGGTGTTATATTGTTTTGAAATTCATTTTCAATTTAGAAATTACCCAAAGGTTTGACAAGGCCTTGTGACGAAGCTCTAACGCGGTATAATCGCAAGAAAAATAGATACAACGGAGTATATGCATGTAAATATTTGTTCTTATTTTAAGAAATCTTTATAAGGTTTGACTGGTTCCTTTTTTTCAGTTACAAAATTGATTGACGTTATACTGTGTACTTATATTTATAATGTACTTTTGATTTATATTAAATTTATACATACTATATCTCAGAGCATTTTATGATTCATTATTCAAATTTGATTTTTAGTAATACTTCTACTGTCTTATATAATCATGTTTTAATGTAAAACAACACAGAGAAGACATGTTAAATTCTAAACGATATACACTATAATTAAACACTGTATGAATACATAGTGTCATTGAAAAAAGCAAAAAACTTACACTTTGTTTTAAGAAAGAACCTGATTATCTTGACCAGTCACAGGGAATACAGATTCCAATTACGTTTGTGCATTCTCTTATTCAAATTAAACATAAAATATCCGGTACGAATATCCTAGCTTTTATCTTATGTGTGCAATACTTTTTTACCCAAAGGCGAGCGTAAGATATCTTTTAGTTAATTCGAGCAATTAGGAAGATCATATATTTTCTGCTGTTTCAGATGATGCAACTCGTGTTGTCTTAAAAAGTAAAACTTACATCAACGCAAATTACATTGATGTATGTATAAATTTGCATGTTTGATGTGTAATGTAGGAATATTTTCATGTCTTTCAACATTTAAAGATCTTTTTAACTGACAACCTTATGCTAATTATTTGATATTTCGTTGACGTATAAATAATTACTTAATATTAATAACTGATGAAGTTAAGCATACTTATGCCTTGAATTTGATAATGTCACATAACGTGTGAACAAAATGAAAAGAAATAGCACATGCTTTTGCATTGGCAAGAACTACCAGATACTATTTAAGAATTATCACTGATATTTGTATATGGCTAATTTTATATACAGATATTTCATATTATGTTTCTTAATTTAATTTAGGGACACAAGAAGTCACCAGAGTACATAGCTTCCCTTGGTATGTATATAATTTTTTTTACGTCGCACCAACGCGGTACAGGTCATATGGCGACTTTTAAGTTTGTAATGATGTAGGAAGACCTCAGATGCCCTTCCATGCATTAATTCATGCATGAACTGACACATTGTAAAACTGCCGATGACTCGATATAACACGTTATAAATATATAATAATAATGGTTAAAAAAATATTTTCAGGTCTGACAAATACTGTCTACAATCATATCAAATACTGCAAATATCTATCTCTTGATTATTCTCACACACCTGTTTTCTTTGATTCTTGGTTAATGTGTTAAAAATAGTATTTAACTTTATAATAAATAACACTATTCTCGTCAACCAAGTCTGCAACTGTCATTTTTTTGCTATGTTTCAATTACTCTTGAGGCATTTCTCTTTTTCAGGCTTTTATGATGTAAATAAAATGTCATTAAAACGCAATGTGAAGTTATTACCTTACATTTTTAGGTCGTCATATTTCCATCAATATTTCTCTTGTATTTATTTACTTATTAATGTTTTAAGGACCAACCAAGGATGCAATGAATGCTTACAAAGACTTTTGGGAGATGATATGGGAAGAAAAAACAGATAAAATTATAATGTTGACCAATCTAGATGAGTCTGGGGTTTGTATATTACCACACTTGCCAGGAAAAAAACTTTTAGTTTTAGTTTTGAATTTTCCCTCATTTACTTGACTTCATATATAAAAATCTGGAGAAAGATGAAGCCTGATTTTAGAATCATAAGAAACATTTTCTATACACTTAAATATGGTAATAAAATTATAGATATACTGAGAGTTATATGCATACATCTAGCAGTAATTGCATTTAAAACAGTTTGTATAAAGCCTTGCATATTATTTTCTACGTATAATTAATTGTATTGTTAACTTTTTATCTTGGGTCACGTATAATTTGGTTATATACACAACAATTGAACTATTGTCAGAAACATTAAAAAAATTCTTTGCCTACTTCATAGAAAATGAAATGTGAGCAGTACTGGCCTGATCAAGGGAAAACTAAGAATTACCATGGATACAAAGTGGTGTGCATTGCTGAGAAAATATTTTCAGAATTCACTATAAGGGAGTTTTCTGTTAATGTGCAGGTATGTTATATTGTATCAGATTTAAACATAAAAATACGTTCTCATCACCTTTGATTTGATTATCGTTTAAAACATTTGTTTGATCTTTCTAATATGTTGACCAAACCTTATCTATATCCCTAGATTGTATTAGTTTTTCTTTAAATTTGTGAACAACATACCTCAAAATATAATGCACCATTGATAAAAATGTTGTTGTTTTCTAATTTCAAAGGGTTCTGGATCAAGAAAAGTGACACAATATCACTATACCGCTTGGCCTGACCGATCCGTTCCAGATAATGTTGCCTCTCTGGTAGAATTTAGGAACAAAGTTGGACAAACAAAGTCAGACGATGCTGGCCCTATAGTGGTACACTGCAGGTATTTGTTTTGCCAGTACAATTAAAATGTATAAAAAAACTAACATTGTCAAAATAATATTTAGTTAATTATCAGACTGTTAAAAAACATGTGTTATTACAAATAATTAACTGTTAAAAGATATCTGAAAAAGGAAATGAATAAGGAACGCTTTATAGCCATTAGTTCTAAAAGTTTAATTTGTACGTGAATTTTGATAATGATTTCCTATATATTTATGTATGTATGTATCATATAACAGTGCAGGAATCGGAAGAACTGGAACCTATATCGCATTGGATACACTTATACAGGAAGGCAAGAATGATAATTATGTTGACATTTTTGGTCGTGTGATGGCGCTACGTGGACAAAGAGGCCACATGGTGCAAAACTTGGTATGTTATTATATATGGATGATATTTAACATGTTTGTCATAAATGTACTTTAATTGTGATTTTCTTACAATCTATTATGATGGATATTATAGGATATATATTTGAAGTTGTATTTTTATTATTTGAAATAATAATTGTTATTTAGAACCATGTATGGTTCTTTCTGTTATTTAGGAACAGTATATATTTCTTCACCGATGTCTTCTGTATGCCCTCACGTGCGATCCCGATCCACTTCCGGTCACACATATTCCTCGTTTGATGACAGATGATAAAATATCACATCAATTTCAGGTACACTTGTATATATTAATACAAATTGTGTTATTATAATAGCTTGTTTGTTTTATAATATCTTCCAATTTAGATTAATAAAAATCAGCATAATGACTGTAAACACACACTCAACTGTCCATGAAATATTGTGACTGAAACTTTCGCTGTTTTATTGATACCAATTATTTCATGTTTCTTTCCTCTGTGATATTTTTAAGCAGATCGTTTTCATATTGGAGACTTGATACTGCTTATTCTGAAGAAAGTGCTTGATAGTTATTACTTTACTCCTACACTTCCTTTAAAGCAATTTATTTATCAATGCATCCAGAAGCGCTCACATTTAAGATTGAAAATTTACTGTTGCATAATAAAAAATACACAAACAGTTGATCAATTGTCTCCTTATATATAATATAAACATACAAATATTGTGTAAAATCAAATAATAATCATTAAGAAGATCATTATTATCAGTCTTATTGAAATTTGCCTAAGATTTAAACAGTTTTAAGCGGCTAAAGCTGGCGAAGGAAAAAAATAATAAAAGAAATAAAAAAGGTCATGGTCATTTGTAAGATATGTTTTAAGTTACCTAATGAATATGAATTATCTAAGTAACAGGTGTGGTTGACTTTCTGAACATTTCAGACATTTACTGATGTTGTTATGCCGACAGACTTCGATGGGAAATCATCTAGGAACAAGAAAATAAGGAAGGAAAATAGACACGGAGCTGACATTCCTGGTATGCAAATTTGCAAATAAGTCAGTTTCACAAGGGGATGGGGATAATATATAAAATACATTTTCATTCCATAAAATAGAAGTAGAATTTTGACTTAATGATCCTTTGGCAGACAGAAATGTTTAAATTAATTTACTAACTATGAAATAATTATTACAGTTAGCATAAGTTTAGAGCTGTTTGAAAAAATAGTAGAAAACCAACCCGTAATTCATAATTGTGTACAAAACGTTGTTAAAATTTAAAAGTTTAAACATTCTTTGTATTTCAACAATTTCACATTAACTATAGCCATTGTATAGGTAAACTTCCTTTTTCATTCACACTCATTATACCACACTGCGTTAATAATAGTAGATTTCAATAGAAAATAACCGTCTGTAAATATTCTCTACTTGTATGAAAATCTCATTTGAATATCAAACCTTGACTATTCAGTGGGTGGTTAAGTTTGAATTCATGGTTAATCCCCTGTTGTGCATTGGGAAGTGATTTAAAGCCGAAGAAGATCTTTATAACATTAAACCATAAAGCAAATTTACATTCAACATTTTAAGGCTTCAATAAATAACATCCTATTTTTATGTGTAGGCGATGATTACAGAGTGAGACTGTCATCAACAAAGCATGACTACATCAATGCTGTTTATGTAAATGTAAGTATTTGAGCAAAAGTAATTTTGATATCGTTTGAAGATTCGATTGTCTCCCTTTTCAATATATTTTCATGAACCTTGCTTGCGTTGCCTCCCTTACTTTTATTGACTATATAAATTGCCTCCTTAGTTGTTTTGATACATGTTATGGTGTATTTAAGACATTAAATTATGATAAACAGATTTTAAATATCATCAAGTTATAAAAGTATTTGAAATTATATTACATTATATTATATTATATTATACTATTCTATATAATATAATATTATATTTACTTAATATCTCAATTTCAGGGATATGAATATCCATACAAATTCATTGTATCACAGACGCCAATGCCAAATACAGTTGAAGACTTTATATCGATGCTTTATCAGGAAAAATGTGCTTGTGTTATTAGTTTGGACGACGAAAACCTGAAAGATAAAGTTAGTGCACATTTATAGATTATCTAGCGTGTTTAAAATAATTATATAAAAAAATTATTTAATAGTATTCGTTGGCAAATTAATCCATACATAACAGATTTCTTTTAAAACAAAAATTAAGACAATACAAATGTTTGCTTTAAACAAATGTTGGGAGTTGGGGTGGGTAAACAAAGAATCACCTTTAAAGCTTTAAGACTCTAAGATGTCTTTGAATTCTAAATCATTCTATTTATATGTTACTTTAAGTACATACCAAATAATAATTTAGACTGATATTGAATGTTTGCTTAAAATTCTGATCAAATGTTTTTATTGATTTTTTACAGAAATTGATTGAAAAAGATGATATTTCAATTTTTTAGGTTTGTCACTTTTGAATATTACTTATTTCAGTCCGTTGGACATTATCTACCGCAAGATGGAAAGGTATTTAAAGTTGGTCATTTCCAAGTAGCTTGTAAGACGGTTGACACAACGGATTATGGTACAATACGGGACATAACAATATCGCGCACTGGATTGGTAGATATTTTATAATTTATTTAGATGAAAATTATTTAAAGATGAGATGAGAATTATTGCACCAGTTCTTTTTAGATGTCCCGTTAAATGCATAAAAGAAAAGGCTTCGGCTTTTTTTCCAGATTCGAATATTTTTGTTTTTCATTTTACATGCTTCACATCATTCACTGCTCAAGATCATACATAATCCCACAAGAACGATGAACATTTTTGAAATGCAAAGCTGTGCAGTATTTGGGAGTTTTCAGTTGTAGCTGGCCAGTAATCTATTATTATATCTATCATCACATAATTTCAGTCCAGAACTTTCTATTAGATTATGTATGATAACCGAACGTCGCTTTCAATACCCTGATAAATGCATCACATTTAGTAACGTAAAACAATAATTCTTTTAATACTTTATATTTAAAACCACTGTATATCAGTTATATTTTATGAGCACTTAATGGCAGACTTTTGTTACATAAAGCACCTTTCTGGAGAGCTACATTTGAAACATTACCAGTATAATGGGTGGAATCAGTCAGAAAAAGTCCCATCTAAAGTTGAGCCGTTTTTAAAGCTGGCCAAGGATGTTGAGAATGAGGTCAAAGGTCAAAGAGAAGATAGACCAATCGTAGTTCATTGCTTGTAAGTATTGCATTAAAACAAATCTATTTGCGAAATCAATTTTTCATATTTTGTTTAACTGTTGATCCACTATGAAGATGTATCATTATACAAGTATATCCTTGTTTTTACTTGTGTAGCTAGATTTATATTTGTGTGTTGGATTCGGCTTGAATCATTTGTGAAAGCAGTTTGATATGTAATGTATACGTATAATTATATAGATATTTTTGTGATTTAATGATGTTATTTATAGGACTGGAGCTGAACGAAGTTGTTTATTTTGTGCTGCCTCTATTATATCAGAAAAGTGTTTCTTTGAGAAAGAAATTAGTGTCCTCAATACCATTTGTCAACTGCGTTCAAGGAGGAAATCAGCTTTTACCGACATTGTAAGTCATTAACTACACTCATATACAAACATGTGAACTAGATATAACTATAAGATATAGTCATATTCGTAAGTTATAAGGTAAGTAATAAATTAACTATCATCATAAAAAGGCATGTGAATTGCCTAGCTTTAAAGTACTATCCTATGCAGTTTCGATAACTATTCTCTATTCTTGCTTCTTATTTAAGTTGTATTTGACGAGCTATTGAGTCAAAGTTTTCTATATTACTTCACATTGCATAAATAAGGAAACATGTGCTCTATACGAATATATCCAACTTGTCATTATTTTGAACTTGTCTGATATTTCAGAATATTTCGTCTTATATAAACCTCCGCAAACATACATGTATATTTACTTAACATTTTTTTATTTTCTCGCAAATATATCAGAAAAAATAAATTGCCTAATTGTCAAATTAATTGCACAACATTGCCTATGTCTACCAGGAAAGACTGATTGTTTAAAATTACATGAAATAAAATACAAAAAATACTGTTATTGACAAATTGGTATCATGGAATTATTTAATTATTATTATTAGTTTGGTCTAACTTATCAATTTACTTTATTTCAGTTACAATTCAGGTTTTGCTACCAACATGTAAAATATCTTGCTGAGATTTCCGACAAGAAGAAATACTATAATATGAACGAGCTGTTGTGAACAATGGTTGAAGAAATTCGTCTTAATGATCAATTTATTACTTGTCCATTGTCCATTTTTTACACAAATATGACACTTGTTTAAAGGCTGAAAATGCTAATAGTTTTATTTTTTTAAATCTTTTTTGCGTGTCCTGTTACAATCTCTGAAAAGACATATTACTCATTGGCCATGCATAAAGTTGTGTTGGCAAAAATCAGTTATAGTCTTTTAGTCTTTTATATGAAAATCAAAATGCTATTTTGTTTACATTTTCCTAACCTATTTCTAAAAAATATAAAAATATTTCACCTCTTCGAGCACTGTTTTCTTCAGGTGATATACATCTTACATGTTCTTAATTCAACTTTACAACACAACAATGCCTTTTCTTCTGAAAATAATACTCATTGTTTTTTTGTATACATGTAAGAACACGCTTATAAATATGATGGACATTTTCATTATACAGTACTGTGAAGTTTTGAAATATTGTTTTAACGGTTTTGTAAATGCTTTTTTTTTGCTTAATTATTAAAAGTCGCTTGTATTTGTAATTTTTGATTCATTTAGCGAACAGTATGCATTTGTATGCTTAATATAAACATTTTGATTTCATTTTACTATATTCCGGTCATATTATTTTATTCATGAAAAGAATGATACTAATTTTCCTATTGAATATTTAAAAGTATATTATTCAATGCTATAATACAAGACTGCCACATTTCATGCAAGTTAATTTCATGTTCGGGATTGGTTTATTGTTAGTCAACATTATATATACATGGGGAAATTAAGCTATACTATTAAGAATCCAGTAAAGAACCTGGCAAAACCACACTACTTTTTTATATCAACCATGCGCATTAAACATAAAATTATGAATAAGGTAAACAAATTATTTTATGATAGTTATGAATTAAAGTATCATTTTAGTGAAACATCAATATATCAATCAATATATTAACGAAATAACTGCCTTTAACAACATATGATATGTGTAAATATTATTCTGTGTGCAAGTCTTTGCTTTGCTTTATGGCTTATATGAATCAAGTATTTATTGTACTAGTGTTTGCTTCTTTCCCTTAATGTAGGTGTGTCCTTTAGGGGCTGATCAACTATGTTCTTCACAACTACTTAAAGATTTATACTTATTATATCATGATCAGACTCAATAAACCGAGTCTGAAATTGTCAACGTTTTCCTTTTCATAACTTTCGAGTAATCTTCCCTTGTATATAGTATAGCTTAACATACTATAAGCATAAACTACAATTTTTTAAGGCATGTTTCCTTGACTAGAAGTTCATGTTTTGATAAAAAAATATGCTTTAGCCTTTCTAATCGTGTTTTACAGAGTATGCTTTTAGTTTATTAAATATGATAAAAATCAAAACATGAGCCTTCATCAACTATTTTCAAAAACCAAAAATATTTGCACAGGTTTAAGCTATTTAGCCTTTCCAACTCAATAATAGTCTTTTTAAACATTTCTTCATCTTCCTTTTGGTTATCATTGATATCCTTTTAACTACAAGTTAAGAAACAGTAGATCTTTTCAACATGTGTCTACAAAGTACAGGCATTTCAATTCAGATCTAGACTGTAGCCTTATTATAACTCTGTTGCTATCTTTATACACTATGTTTGTTAACGAGAATCTTTTATATATAAGTTCATAAACTAAAGCTTCTTCTGCATGAGTTATTCGCAGATATAGTTCTATAGTTGATCTCGAACTAAATGGCTTTATTTATTCAACACATACGAAATATTAATTTAAAAGAATGCATTTTTACATTCAGCCAGAGGTGTTAAATATGAGTTTTTATGTATCCTATTGCTAATTTTGCATACGCCTTGCATTTACTTTTACATATTATTGTTACACTGTTGTCTGTTTTAATTGTTAGCTTTGTAATACGCAAACTTTAATATATTGATGACGTGTAAATCTGTTTAATTGTTAGTTTTACTCGTATATAGTAATAAATTATATCATTTATAGTTACTTTTTGTTATAGGCATATGCTAGTTGGTGAAATTTCATATTGCCTTTCATAACTGTACCACAAGGCTTCCTAATGTTTAATATGTACAGAATCGGTGTTACTATTGCATAATTCCTGCGGAGATTTTTTCAAATTCCAGCATTATGGGTAAACACTGTAATAGTAATATATATTACAAGGGAAAATAGTACATATATATTATAATTATACAACGTTATTTGTGAATCGGTATAATTGCCAAATAACTGAAATACACTTTTTTTCTATTTTTCTTTTGTTTTTCTTTAATTCAGTTGTTGCCATAGAGGCATTGTGAAAAAATATATTACATTGAGTGGACTTTAAGGACACTGTCGTATATGTGATCTTATT